CACTTTTCTCTTCTAAAAAGCGTGTATAAATTTGATACAATTCGTGAGGCATTAGTCGCTGCTGACAGATGAGACCGACCGGGTGTAGAAAGTCCCAAGACCATGGGTTTCGTTCGGCTTACTAAAACTTAGCTGAAAAATACTGTTCTGCCTGAATTATTATGAGAGAAAAACACTGTTTCGGTTGAAAAAACAAGCTGAATAGTGCGGATTATAAAGTAAACCGAACGGGACCCATGTCAATTGGTAATTTGTCAAATCTCGTAACAACCATGTTGCTCGTAGTTCGTAAAAACAAACATGTTGCTCGTATTATTACTACCGGTCTCAAGTCTGCCTTCCAAATTCAGATTCCCGCGTCATTACTGGTCCGAAGTCACCTTTTTCAATGCAAGTCCTCTACCGAGACTACTGCAAGTTCGTAAGGAGCAATCACTGGTGTACACCGAAATCAGGATATATATGCGGTCAATTTTTTTTTTTTTTGTGATGCACGAGCACACACTCATCCATACGAACACACGCACGCACACTCTACTTCTATGAGCACCTCCGAAGTCACCCCTATAAACACATGCACGCACACCCTACCCCTATGAACACCTCCGAAGAACTAAGTTGGACCAGCAAATCTCGAGATTGACGAAGTTACTATGGACGCCTCGCTGTCGACGGGTACGTCGTCTACCACTGAAAGAATAACGTCATTGTCAAGTCGGGGACTTGAACCCGGATGAACAGGTTCCACCACAAGAAACCCAACTAACTAAGCTACGCTCCGTTCGCTGCGGTCAGTTTTCATATTCACATTTTGGTCCACTGGTCCATCAGTACTTGCACCGCATGGCATAGAATCTTAAAACACGTAAGCATTAGATGCTACTATTTAATACACTAATTAGTAAAAACTACTTAAATTAACTTGTACGTTTTTTTCCGTTGTCCATTTGCTATCACAATTGGTATGATTGATGCTATAGGCGTATTTGGCATAGCTTCACCAACAGCTTCATGAGCTATTGTGAGCTATTTTTTTGCCAAAACAACTCATGGGGTGAAGCTCTTTTTTTATGCTCTCACAAAGGAACGAGGAGAGGTGAAGCTGTAAAAAGTAGCTTTTTGCAACTCTCTCTCCCTCATTTCTCTCTCATATCGATGCATGAAGCTGTTGGTGAATCTGTTTTGCCAAATCGTTTTTCCAAAACAGCTCAGCTTCACCTAGAAAGTTGACTATGAAGTTGTTTTCAAAAAACAAAACTGCTTCACTAATGAAGCTAAGCCTATGCCAAACATGGCCTATATTTAGTCGTTATACTGTTTTTTTTCCATTGTATTTACTGGGAGTTCTATCTAGAATATAAAATCTAGATTCTTGAGAAAAATCAAAGAGATGCCACTAGCACTAGGATTTCAAATTGACATGTGGAGGGAAAACATGTTTTTTTTTCGTGATCGGGCCATCCATCCGTGTTTCATTAAGAGGAAACAAGTGTCAATAGAAAGGACACGATCTTGTTGGAGAGAAGCCTTCAAGGCTCGTGCGGGGCACCTAAGCTACTGGACAACAAGCGAACACGATTACATCGTCCTAACGTTTTGCGACCAGAATGGTCCGGCAATGGCCAACGTCTTGAAGCCGGCCTCGACCCAATCCTCCGCTTCCCGCACGATCTTCCAGAATAGCTGCTGTGCTCCGACTGCCGTTCTCGAGAACGTTCTGTTGTTCCTCTCCTTCCAGATGGACCAGGAGACGAGTAGCATCAAGGAATCAAACGTCGGGCGGGCCTGAGGATCTAGCCGCGCCCGCTGTCCAAGCCACCAAGAGGCGAGGCCATCATTGCCCTCAGGCACCAGCGCAGCGAGTCCGACCGGATTGAGCAACAGGAACCAGAGCTCCCTTGCGAGTACACAGCCAAGGAACAAGTGTTCTCCGGTTTCGGGTTCCTGGCCGCACAGAGCGCAAGCATCATCATCTTGAAGGCCATGTCGCTTGCGTCGTTCCGCAGTCCACAGCCGCCGATGAAGAGCAAGCCAGAAGAAAAATTTGACGCGAGGTGGAGCCTTGGTCTTCCACAGCTCCTTCGCACCGAGCAGCGACGTCGAGCCGGTGAAGAAAGCCCGGTAGGCGGATGAGGCCGAGTACTTGCCGTCGGCCGTTCATTTCCAAACAAAGAGGTCCGGCTGCAGCGGCTCAAGCACGACGTCGCGCAACAACCGCCATACTTGGAGCCTCGGAGGTACTTGGAGGTACAGCAAAAGTCGCGTGCCCAGCGGTTTTGCTGTAAACCCACGTTTACCGATCTCTTCTTTCCTGCCCTGGAGATCGCCGCGTAGAGATTGGGGGCGAATTGGTATAACGGGCCAACCGGCAACCAGTTATACGTCCACAGCCTGCACGAATCCCCGTCGCCCAGCGCCACTGTCATGCTGACAGCGGCCATCTTGGCAACCGGCTTCTCCACCTTTGCCGGCAGCGCCGCCCAGCAGCAACCTTGAGCAGTCCTGCTCAGCCACGTACTCCCATCTGAGCCTCAACGCAAAGCCGAAGAAGCGGAGGTCCAGAATGCCGAGACCACCAAGACCAGTCGGCCTAAAGACTGTCGTCCAAGCCACTTTGCATTTGCCACCGGTGGTGACCGCGGTGCCCGTCCACAGGAATGCACGACGTCGCCGGTCAATTTGATCCAGCGCCCATGTGGACAGGCAGCAGGCTATGCTCGTATGTACCGGTATCGCGGAGAGGGTAACCTTCGTGAGCAGTACGCGGCCTGCATGAGTTAGTAGGCCCGCCTTCCATGTTGGTATACGAGCCGCCACCGCATCGACGAGCGCCTGCTCGTCGGCGCGCCTCAGGTTCTTGACCGACAAAGGAACACCGAGGTATCTGCATGGGAATGGAGCAAGAACACATGGGAACACCTGCTGTACTGCTTGCACCACTTCCTCCGAACATTGGATCGGCGTAGCCACGCATTTGTCGATGTTTGCGACCAGCCCGGATGCACTGGCAAAAAGTTGCAGGATCTGGTTGACGCACTGGAGATCGTTGGCTGTCGGGGCAACGAGTATAACGAGGTCGTCGGCGTAGAGCGACGCTCGGTGAGTGATGGCAGTGGTGTCAGGGCTAGACGGTGATCAGCCTCCCGGATCAGTGCGTTGAGTGCTTCCATGACAAGCACAAACAACATTGGCGAGATGGGGTCGCCCTGCCTGAGCCCTCTGGCATGGTAATTCTCCGTCCCGGCCGACCATTTAGGAGAACCTTGGTGCTGGCTGTGGACAACAGGATGGAGATCCAGTTAGTCCAGCGTCGCGGGAAGCCGATGTGCTGCAGCACCTCTAGGAGGAATGGCCACGCAACGGTGTCAAACGCTTTGGCAATGTCAATCTTCAGCAGCACCGAAGCAAACTTCTTACAGTGCAACCATCTGCATGCTAACTGGACCGCTCTGAAGTTATCGTGAATGGAGCGATCCTTGATGAAGGCACTTTGATTTGGGGCCACCATCTCCTTTAGCCTCGGCGCCAGACGCCTAGCCAGGCATTTGGCAAAAAGCTTGCTGAAGCTGTGTAACAAGCTGATCGGCCTGTAATCTTTGAGTCTTGTCGGTGCCTCGTTCTTGCGCAGCAGGATCATCAACGCGTCATTCAGGAGGTAGAAACTTCTGGAGTCCAGGGACCAGAGCGCGTTGATGATGTCCTCCTTGATGATCCCCCACGTGGCCTTATAGAAAAGGCTAGAGAAGCCGTCCAGCCCCGGCGCGCGGTCCGTCGGCATCTCTTTGATGGTTGCCCAGATCTCCTCCGAGAAACACACATCAATTTCAGAGAGATCAAGCCTCGACAGGAGGTCATCTAGGTGCAGAGAGTGCTGTCGCTGGAAAGGAGTGCCCAGGATGTTCTTGTAGTAGTTGTAGATGAGGTCCTCCTTTGATTCTTCAGCAGAGAACCAAGACCCTTCACGCTGCACCGCAGGGATGAAGTTTTTGCGACTTCTGTGACAAGCTTGTAGGTGAAAGAACTTGGCGTTCACATCACCTTCTCCGAGGAACCTGATCCGTGAACGGTGTCGCGCAATCGTGCGGGCCAACGACGCCATCCCCAGGCAGCGACACTTGAGATCCGCGCGGAGCGCCCGCTCCTCGTCCGTGAGCTCTCTGGACTCCATCGCCACGTCCAGCTGAGCAATCAGCTCCCTCGCCATGAAGAGCTGAAGGCGCACACTCCCGATGTTGGTCCACGTTTAGCCAGTGCACAGTTGCGAAAGCTCGGTCGATCCTCTCCAAAGTTGGTCGATGACGTTCGTTGCTCCAAGTGTAGAGCCGACCGTGAAGGTACAACTCTTCGACAGCCATGGCATCGAGCGTTCTACGGAAACGCCGCGTGGAGCTAAGATTTAGACAGCTGTTGTTCTTGTCCGCTGCCTGGTCTGTTCGGCTGATAAGCCAGCTGAAGCTATTTTGCTGTGAGAGAAAAATACTGAGCTAATAAGCCGGCTGATAAGTAGTTAAAATAGCCACAAACGAGCAGCGGGCCAGGACAGGCATCGCGGACCTCCCTAAGCTCGGCGAAGAACTCAGGCTTCCGGCTCTCGTCGACCGGGCCGCACACAGTCGCCAACGACCAAGGCAACTCCGCCGCTGAAGAAGGCTGTAGGCAGATCGTAACGGAGAACTGGCGACAGGTTTGGGTGGTCACCAACCAGACGTCGCGTGACCAACCAACAATGATCCCCCCCGAGGAGCCGATAGCCGAGAAGCAGCCATAGTCAAAGCCCGTTCCCATTAGATCAAAGGCCATGGACGGCAGTAGTACATCCGTTTTCGTCTCCACGAGACAAGCGACAGTTGCGCGTTCTTGCACCAAGAACTGGCGCACTACATCACGGCACGCCCGAGAGTTAAGGCTGCGCAAATTATTCCAGATAAAAATATTGTCACCTAACATGGATAACAAACTGTGACGACAAAGGCAGAGCAATCTAGGCGGCGCCCACGGCCCTAAAGGCACGCTGCTTCCTGCCCGGGGAAGAGGACCTGCATGGCCTCTCGTGTAGATGACGAGAGCGGAGAGGCGAAGGCCGTCTGAAACTCATCGAACGAAGCCTCGTCGGGGAGCTGGGTCTCGATCTCGACCCCAAGTCTTTTCATCATCACCTTGCGCGCCTGTGCTCAGCCCCGTATATCAGCAGGTGCAAAGTGTGCACCTGTTCTGGGCCTCCAAATTTCTAGGGCCACCAAATTTAGTACACATATAGCCCATCAGCCCATAAAACTTGGTAGGCCATCGGACTCCTTCCCCATAGTCCATAGCCCATACGTAGTTACGTACGCATATAGGCCTGGAAGTCGGCACTCGACAGTGACGTTTGCCGCAATCCTTTCATCGTTGCGCCGCTGCAGCTGGAGCTGCTAGACCTAGACGCGGCTGTTCGGCATGGCATCGCGGGCTCGTGGTGATCACGATTCACGGATCACGCAAAGATCGGCATCGCCAAGAAGCAACTGTCATCCGCTGGCGCCGAGAACCAACACCAACACGTCGCCGTCGGCAGCTCGGTAGTCGGTACGCACACAAATTTCATCCCCAATTGTGTACAGGAGATTTCAGATTTTCAAAAGCTTTGCAAGTTGCAACAGAAATTGCACTAGAGATGGAAATTGATCCGATTTTTCGCACCAAACGTAAGATCAAAAGGAAAAGACAATTTGGTGAGAGCCCTGATGATGCATCTTCTCCTTCGCAATCTGCAGAAGATTCATTTCGGCGTGATTATTTTATACCTGTTGTTGATCAAGCCATAGTTTCACTTTCTAGGAGATTTGAACAATATGAGGAATTCCAAAATAATTTTGGTTTCCTATTTACTTCAGATAAGTTGCGTTCCTTGGATGATAGAAAATTGCTTTCTTCTTGTGTCAATCTAGAAGCTAAACTTAAAAGTGGAGAACATTCAGATATTGATGGAAGAGAATTATACGTAGAGTTAAAGTTCATTCAAGATCATATTGACATATCTATGGGCCCTCTTGATATTCTTAATTATTTGAAACAACATGGTTCTTTCCCAAACGCCATTATTGCATACAGAGTTTTGTTAACCATTCCAGTTACCGTTGCATCCGCGGAAAGAAGCTTTTCTAAACTCAAGTTATTGAAGTCCTACTTGCGATATGCAATGACACAAGAAAGACTCAATGGGTTGGCAACAATAGCACTTGAAAATGATATCTTGGAGATGAAGTATGAAGATATAATTAAAGACTTCATTTCGAAGAATACTAGAAGAATGATGTTTTTCAGTAGAAACTAGAATATAAGGTCAGTTTGTTGCTTAAGTACTTTTGTATTGTTTTAGCATCAAGATTTGATATGTTCTAAGTATTGTAAGAACAACGTATATTTAAAACTTTATAATAAAGTAAAATTATGCTTTTGTTATATTATTTTCTTATAGATTTTAGGGCCACATCACGAGTTTCGGGGTCTTCCAAATCGTAGGTACGGCCCTGCTGTGCTTCAGGCTTCTGGGCCCTGTGCTTGCTCTTGGCCGCTAGCCTGACGCTCCTCTTAGGCACCAGCTCCTCAACGTCAGGCTCTTGCGCCCTTGATCTCGCCGCACGAGTGAGCCGTGGCCACGGAGGCGACAAGATAACCGGCTGGGCCAGCGGCTTCTTGAAGGCGGTGATGAAGTCTTCGATTGTCGGCGGATCAGCCGTCACGGGTGGCACAACACCGGCGGCAATGTCGTCGACGCCGTTGAACTCCTGGGCCAGGGGCGAAGAATCCGTAGGCTGGCCCAGTGTTACCGGTGGAGATCTAGGCGTGCTGTGGGCCGACTCTTCATCTGGGCCGAAGAGGCATACGTCCACCTCGTGAATGAGCTCAGCGAACGACTGGGCGGGAGGGCCATCGTCAGGACGGCTGCCAAACAAGTAATCCGACCCATCAAGAAGCCCAGTAGCATGGCAAAGCTGGCCCCCCTCCAGAAGGCCCAAGTCCGCCTCTAGGCGGCCCCACCAAGCCATGGCTGGGGGCTCGGGAGGAGCGGCAGCCGCACGGCAGGACATTGATGGACTGTGGCGCACAAACGGAGTGGGGCGCGACGCAGAGTGGCCTCGTCGACCATTGGATCTCCCTCTGTCCGCCTGACAGAAGAGGGTGAGCGGGGGCCCATGGGCGCGAAGTCAAACTGGGAGCCCAGGGACGTGTCGACACGCGTCGCACACGAAGCGGGGCTCCCGCTGGCAGCTCCATGGCAGGGTATGGCGCCGCGTGGTGATTTGACGGGGCACCTGACATCCCCGACCAGGATGGTGCACGTCGATTCCCGGTCCTGGAAGGTGGGCCCGGAACCGCGACCCAGGCAAGGCTCGTCCGGGCCGGCGGGCCGGCGAACCGCGTCGTCCGCGGCCGCGCACCGCCGCCGCCACTGCCGAATCCCGGATGAAATCCGTTGTAATTGCTGTCGTCACTGTCGTCGTCGTCTCCGACATCGTAGTCTTCATCCGAGGAGGGCGGCGGCGTGTGCCAATCTTGGAACTCAGGCGAGGTTTAGTTCGTGAAATTTGGGAATTTGGCTACCACCGTAGCATTTTTGTTTTTATTTTAGCAATTAGTGTTTAATCATGGACTAATTAGGCTCAAAACGTTTGTCTCGCGATTTCCAATCAAACTGTGCAATTAGTTTTTTTTCATCTATATTTAATGCTCCATGCACGTATGGCAAGATTCGATGTGATAGCTACTGTAGCATTTTTTGAGAAAGTTTTTGGAACTAAACACAGCCTCAATGATCCGGATGGGAACCAGATACCTCAGCGCCAGCAAGTCATCATGGATGATCTCGTGGGGCCTCAGGAACAGAGGCGGCTCACCATCGTGCTCCAGCTCCGGCACCACCATTATCTTCTCGTTGGGGATGAGATCGGGGTGGGCACAACATGCCGCCACGAACAGCTCGTGCTCATCATCCGGATCATTAAGGGCATCCGGGTTCGTGATCTCCGCTTTGGCCCCTGACGAGCCAAGAATGGTCTGTGCCACCTCAGCCGAGCGAGCATGCGCCGGGATGCCCTTCATGCCGACGAGAACACGGAACCTGAAAGCACCCGTGGAGCCCATGATGAGGCGGCTCCAGCAGCGCCATCTAAGGTCGAACGGCGCCCCCTCCGGCGGCGGGGTCCTCAGGACGTGCTCAAGGTCCTCCCGATGACTGAAGCGAACGATGAAGTCGTCCAGCCTCGTCCGACGAACTGAGACGTGCTCCCCAGCGATGCCGAAGTGCTCGTGGAGGTGGTGCAGCATCTTGGCTGGTGTCACCATCGGCCGCGTACCCAGAACCAACACCAGCAGTGCCAGCGACAGCGCATCCTCCACAACCGCCCGCAGGGCCGGTGTGCGCGGCACGACGACGAGCTCTAGCAGCGGAGTCCTGGCTCTCGTCCTCGGCGACGCAGGCGGCTCCTCAACCTGCCAAAGCAGGGAGCGGGGGTAACCGCGAGGACGTTCATGCGGTTCAGAGGCGCTCGGCCCCCCTCCCGCGACATCCGCGTCGGCCGGTGCATCAACGATAGGCTCCGGCGTGGGCGGCTCGTAGACAGGCGGTACCGACGGCGCCCTGCCGGTTGACGTCGAACGCGCAGATGCAGTGTCCGCCGTTGACCCGCGACTGGGCGAAGGAACACCCTAAAATTTGTTTTTTCTAAAATAAAGTTAAATTAATTTAAATACTTGTTTTTGTGCTCATGAAATATAGAAAAAGAATATTTTCCATTATATTAAAATTCATCATAAGGAGTAGCAATATGATTGTGCATAGATGCCGGTGCATTTGATTTATTACAATAAGTGGTTGAATCCAAAATTTAAAATGAATTCAAAATGCTTTTGAAAATGAAATTAAAAATGGCTTTGAAGTAAAAGAAAAAAAAGAAAAATAGAATTGAAAAATAAAAGAGTTTAAAAAGAGTGTAAAATTTATTTTTTTGAAGCCTACCAAAATTGCCCATTTTTATTTGAGTTGAAAAGTATATTTGAAACTCTATTTGAATTTGCATTGGTTCATAATTGAATTTAGTTTTGAAAACAAAATAGAAAATGATTTGGAAAATGAAAAATCCTCTCTCCTCTCAATCTGTCCCGACCGTCGACGCTAACCCCCTTGGTGAGTTCGCCTGGCCATTCTCTCTCTCCTCGTGGTCTTCCCGTATCCAATTATGGCCTTAATCGTCGTATCGACGATCGCCGGCAAGGAGCCGAGCGCCTCCGGACATGGCGCCGCCACAGGAGCGCCGCTCCGGCGACCCCCATCTCCCTTCTTTCTATCTCGGTCGTCCGATCTGTGATTTACGACCCAGATTAGTACCGATTCGCCTGCTATTTTGCTAAAGCGTCCCTATGGTTTTAGGTATTTGAACCCACCATCCCTATCTTTTTTTCTAAAGAGCTCCTGCCCTTTTTCGTTATCACGCCCGCAGTCCGCTTAGTTTAAATTTTGATTATATTAATTCGAAAATGAATTTCTAGCTATTTACAGAAGTGCCACTGACCTTATTGTAGCCATATCTTTTTTGTTTTAACTCCGATTTGACCTGTTCAAGTTGCGTTAGATTCATAACGACGTAATCTATGTATTAGTGGCATGGTTTAACATGTTTAAAGCTTTTGAATAAAATAGTAACCTGATTAATCTATATGTAATTAGTTTTTCAATTGAAAGCAATTAGGGCTTTTCACCTCTGTCTTTTGTAAATAAAATAAGATTAATCTTATGTTGGTTTTCTAATATAAATATAATTTAGCTTAAAATAATTGAGATATTCTTATATATGTTTTATAATTAAAATAAATGAAGCCTAAAGTTTTCTTTTCCACGTATAAAGAAAATATATCGGTAGATGTATCTTTTCATCGTAGCTTCGATTAGCATGCTTTTCACGTCTGTGTGTTCGTAGTAACGTGTAGAACACCTTTAAAATCTTTTTACCTGTTGTTTATTATGTTTAGTGTACTGTTCTAATTTAGATATATTGTTTGCTTCGTGTATAATTGCATGGATGCTTGTGTGGTGCTTTATAATCTTGTACATTCGGTGAGCTTTACGTGTTGATCAAGAAGGAGTTCTTTTGAAGGTTTGGACTTGAAGAAGGATCTGAGTTTGAGACAAGTATAGCATGGGATCATCCTTGTTGTCCTATTCACCTTAATACCATTTTAATCATATGCATGTGTCTATCTTGACAACCGTAGTAATTTTTCTAGCCATTTGATATCTTGGATTTCTTGATACCTGTGGGGTATTACATTGGGTAGTATGATGCAAGTGCTCAACTAAAGTCATGATCTTGTAACTTAACTAATGGTATATGCAATAAATACTAAAAGATGCTTTTTAGCAATATGGAACAAGGGGGCTAGAGCATTAGGCTATTTTATGGTGCTCTAAATTTTTCTCCCTAAGGACTTATCTGTAAATGATTATCCAGGACTTACAGTACAGCTGTGAGGGCTACATGGCTCTGACTTTAGCTTAGTATGAGGACCTTTTTTAGCTTGTTAGTGGTTACCTGTATTGGCGTAAGAATGGCTTGACAAATCGGTATAGTGCGTCCTCTGCCCCCTTGAGTATAGGCTGCGCGTCATTATGCCATCGGGAAGGGGGCTCTATATCTGTTTGTCGAGTGAATCTAATGGTCCTACCTTGTTAGACGAACCTTTGAAAGGCTTCATAGTGAACCCTGCCGACCTTCCTAGGTAGTGGGTTAAGAGGCTCGCGACCTCAGACGAAAGGGTAAATCACGACTCACAGTGAAAGTGTACAACCTCTACAGAGTGTAAAACTGGTATATCAGCCGTGCTCACGGTCACGAGCGGCCTTGAAACATTTACGTAATAGATGATAAACACTGATGATACGAATGATAAAGATGCTCATTAATGGTTAATTGTTTGTGCTATTCATTATTCATGTTTACCTGATCATGTGTTTATATGGGTTTGTGAATAAACTTGTTGCCACCCAATTGCTAAAAGATGACTCATTAAAAGCTAATCGCAGGTAAATCAGTGTCAGCCTTTGGAGCCTCATGAACCCCATGTTATATTTATTGATTACAACATGTACTTACGCTTGCTTTATATTTCAATTATTTGGATAAAAATCCCGGATGGGTACCAAATTACTAGTGTTGGAGGAATTAGACTTCTGATCAACCAGTCAGTTGTCGATGTAAAATTGAAGTCTTCACCCGAAGGTTGGAGTTATCTTTCCACTGTTTGCTGTCTAAAGTTATATCCTTTATACTAAGTATGTTATATATTAAGCATTGTCTATTGATATTACCTTTATTTGTAGGTATATGTGAGATTTGACTTCCTGAGTTCACATGTGGTGTGTATCTGATTTTGTTGTTAAAACCGGGTGCTACACGAAGAACGGCGGGCGGAGAGACCTGGCGCGCATCCGCCATGAACTCACCTAGACGCGGACGACGATGGCGGCGCCGGCGCTGCTGCCGTTTTTTTTTATATCGCAGTACATGAGATCGAAACTGGTAAACCAAAATGTAGATTACTGAAATTGTGAGCGTGACACATGGTCTACAATATATTACAGGTAACATAGCTCAAGCATTACGTTTTCAAGTAAATACATGTTCAACACAAAGATATAATGCAAAAGGGAAAGTCTGAACGGGGATGGGAAATCCTATAGCAGTGTAAAATGCTACAAATATTTCAATACGACAATTGTGTTAGAAAATGAACGTAGATAATAAATTTTCATTATTTGTAGGTCTTAAATTTATCTATAAACTTTATTCTTCTTTTAAAATTGCTACACATGTAGGAGTACAGATCGATAAACTAGTTTTTGATTTGATTCGAAAAGGTTATTGTTCTAACTTCTCCTTATGTTAAACATTTGTATTGTTCACCATCAATATATAGAAATCCATATAGTTTAACATTATAAGATTTATGCTTTTCGGTTCACGGTAAGAAACCATTCATAATACATAATTCATATGCGAGTTTCTAAGAAATGGTGGTTAAAGATAAAAATGGTTGATTTAGAATACAGCTAGAATGTCAGCTTTTTGTTTTTACCAGGGATTGACAGACTGGTGCTAGTCAAATCGATCGCGCTTGCGTGCACTTTTCTCTTCTAAAAAGCGTAACACAAATCGCGAGATATATTAATTACTCGCTGCTCACAGATGAGACTGACCGGGTGCAGAAAGTCCCAAGATCATGTCAATTGGTAAATTGTCAAATCTCGTAGCTTGTCGCCTCTAACAACCATGTAGCTCTTATACTTCATAAAAACAAACATGCATGTTGGTCGTATTATTACCATGCAGCTCTTAGCCTGTTCACTTGCTCGTATACGATCGTGGATTATAAGCTGGAACAATATTTTTCTCTTACACCAAATCAGCCAACAGTAAATAATCCACGATCGTTTATGACGAAACGAACATGCTGCAAATTCAGATTTCCGCGTTATTACTAGGTCACTGAAATATACTAGGTCGATGCAAAAGGCCCGCCCCCCTCTTTCACGGTCACTGAAATATACTAGGTCGATGCAAAAGGGACCTCGCAACCAGTCATGCACGTCCGAGCTTCCAAAGCGATATGCTGCATTTGTTCTAGCGCCTCTTGTAGGTATCACTCGAGGTATGATTGTGAAACTTCAGTGTAGCTAGTACGTTTGACTGCGTCTAGTCTACGCTAGTCTTGTGAAAACTACCGATGCAAGAATATTCCCACCGCGATCTTAGGAGGATATTATATAAAAGCTGCACCAATCAAAATAATTCAAATAAGGGGGCCCATAGAACAAAGTTGTGAAAGGCAACAGCCAACTAAAAAAGTACTCTCTTCATTCTAAATTATAAGACGTTTTAACTTGTATAGATTCATAGTATTTTGCTACGCATTTAGACATATGTTATGTCTAGATATATGATAAAAACTACAAATCCAAAAATGGCAAAATATCTTGTAATTTGGGACAGAGGAAGTGTAATACTCCGTAGTTCTGGATGATGATGACAAAAAAAAAAGAGAAGGTGGGCATTACTCGACAAATAATTATTGGGCCTCCTCGTTTGTGCTTGAAGGCAGCCGTTTGGGATGCCGCTGCCGCCAGCGCAAGACACAAAAGCACTGTAGCTACAGCGAGAAATGAGAATAAAGCAGTCGCACTGCTGGCAAAAAGCCAGCCGATCGAACAGACCCATCTAGTTAGGGCCTGTTCGTTTGAACTTATCAGCTAGAATCTACAGTATTTTTCTTTCACAACAAAACAGTTTCAG